TTTGTGTATTTAGAACTTAAAGCATCTGTTTTGAAGCAATATTCTTCGGATATTTTCAGAATTATCACCTACCTTTGCAAACGTTCAAAAGCCATGAAATCAATATGATTAAAAGCATTTGCTTCATGTTGGCACGCTGTTGAAACTTCGTCAAATTACATGGTTTTCCTCACATTTGTCAGTTGCAGTCAATTTCCCGGTTTCAGTTGCATTCAGATTTCTCTCGTGCAGTTATGAAACTTCAAGTTTTTCATTCATCTGTATCCACGAAACAGAAGTGGTGATAATTAAACAGAATTTTACGAAACTTGATTCATTTTGATCTATTCAAGAATGAAGACGTGATGAGTCAAATCCAGCTTTGGTATCACAATAACGTTGTTTATTCTGCGTGGGTGCCAGACTAATTATTTGATATCGATACTCTGCAGAGTTATATACACCCACCCCGGGGTCAACTGCTGTGAGATATCATTGTTTGTAATTTTTCTTTGAAACAAAAACCCTATATATGCAAATCATTTATTTACATGGAAATAGATTTTTCATTTCTGGACTCTCTTTATGTTCTGCAAACTTGAAGGCAACCACTAAACTTGGTTAAGCAACAAAGTAAAAAGAAAATACAGAAAAGAAGATATTGAATAAGATAACTTAAATATGTAATCCCCAAGTTTGTGGGAAAATGAATGATTTCTTTCTTACCAACGCAAATCAAAACAACGTTATCTAGCAAGATTTCAGTTAGACGATTTCAGCAGACGTTTTCATGCATATTGATTTAAAAAAAAAAAAAACCTTTATTTACCCTCGGCAATGTTTATAGCACAAGTGCTAGTGGGACCGAGCAAAGAATTGAAACAAATAATTTAAACTGAACATAACATTGTTACTCAAAACTATAACAAAATCTCGTACGTGATTGGCTATCAGCTGCAGCAGCCCGATTTGAGCATTAATTGGACAGTGTATACGCGTCATGCTTGTAATTCATTTCTCGAATTTTGTCATAGTTTTGATTAATTGGTAACAGGACATCGTGTCGTCCAATTTAGTCTGTAATCATACTCGTGATTAACAAATCGGACTCCCGCTTCTCGGTCGTCCGATTTTGTTAGTCACTCGTATGATTACACACCGAATTGGACTCCACTCAGTCCTGTTACCATTATTAATAATCCCAACTGGCCGGAGGCAAACCAGTTGGCTATTTACGAGCGTGGCCGAGGATTTGAACTCGGGGCTACCGAGAAACAAATCCGGGTAGTGGCCAGAGCGGGACTCGAACCCGGGACCGCTGGATTGCGAGTCCGACACGCTGACCACTCGGCCACGCTGGCTCCCTTAGATAAACACCTCGAGTATCCAGGAGCACTTGAACAAAACATGCATGTGTTTTCTTATGCTGAATGTTTATCACAAAGAAACTCCAGTGAAATCACGAGAGAGAATAACCTAGAAAGTGTAAAAAGGTTTTTCAAAATGTGCAAAACTACTTTTTGATTGAGCCATTTTTTAAAAAATAGACTAGTTATAACTAAGACGGGGGCATGCAAAAGAAACGTATTAAATGTAAAATGCTAATCAATAATTTTAGTTATAAATTTTTATGTACATATTGAAATTGATAGCACAAATTTTATATTCTGTTTCTAACTAATTGTTGCGAAACAAGTTTGGCGCCATTGCCAAAGGTATACATAAGCGGCCGATCAATAACATATTGATGGAAACCATCAACCCTTTATGGCCAAGCCAGTTCCCAGTGCTTCTCCCTGGCAGGATTGTTCTTTGTCGACATGGCGTTATCTTAAGCTATGTTCTGACGGTGATGGACATACATTAAAACCTTTTTAGCTTTTACGTATGCTCCGAGTCTCCAAGGATCAATTCGAGTTGCGTTGTAGTTTTTTTTACTTAAATAACCGAGAATTGACATTCTTGAATAGAGGAACCTGAAAGTGGAAAAAAAAAAAAAAAAAAAAAAA